CATCTTATTTAGTGAAAGTTGAGTGGGGGAGGTTTTACTAAATTTCTGTCAATCATACCCGTTTATGACGATGATAGTTTCCTGGTAGACTGCACAAAGCTTTTCGGCAGATGTCCGTTTGTTTCCTCTAGCTACTGCTTTCATTATCTTTGCAAGACAAGTGGTGAGTAGTGGGGTTTACCCCTTTTCCTTGGCGCATACCCTTTTATGATCATGATAGATTCTTTGGTGCGGGTTGAACATGGACCGATCTGCTCAACACCTTCGCCGTTAAAACTACTGAATGCATAGCGTGTAAAGAGCTGTCATGTCAGAGCAATTCCAATAAGTTTTTTTTTTTTGAGCGAGAAAGAGAGATATTTCGGCATACTAACAGAAATATGATCGAAATTAAACAAAGTTGGTAGCAGCGAAGAATTTTTTCAATAAACATTTCCGTGAACAGGTGTTTGCTACGACATTATATAGATATAGAATAACAAATTTGCGAATGTATCAAAGTATCTTAAGGCAGAATTTAAAAGTATCTAATCGTATGCAGGGATTACTGTAGTAAGTTGAGTTGAATAAACTTTATTTGTCCAGCGGTAGTGCCCAGGGCTAGAGGCTGCCAGACATCGCCTGTTCGATGAACATCTTACTGTATATGCATCTTGCTGTATCTGCATCTTGTATATGCTTCAGAAATACTTCTTCCACGAGAATCTTGTAACATATCGCGATGCAGTTTATGAGTGTTTTTGCCCAGCCCAGGGTTTAGAGCTTTGATTGTGCGCATTTTATTGCGGTTGTCTCAAACTGCCGCATCTGTGTCAAAACCGGTCGTTGAAATTGTGCCTGGTACAGAATTCGTGGCTGCAAAACTGCGCGTCGAGCGGTGTCAGTGCGAGATGCCGCTGCATTTGATGTAATGCGACGAACAGCGGGGACTGTTTTTGTCGAACTCTGTCTGACATTAACAAGCAAGTGCTCAACCTCGTCGAAACACAGTACTGCACCTTGTCACGTTCCAAATTGTGGTTAGAATGTTTTCTTAATAACCTTTAGCTTCTTTTCTTCCTGCTTTCAAATAGACGTCCCCAACAAAAGAGCTGGTTTTTTCCTCTTTTCTTGTGTTTGTTTTCTTCAACAGAGGAGGAGGTAGAGGAAGGAAAGGCAGGAAAGTCAACCAGGCGAGCGTCCGGTTTGCTATCCTACACCGGTAGAAGGAGATTGAGGGATAAAAGAGAGAGATAAAAAGAACAAAACATAAAAAAATTAGGTGACCTTAAGCTAGACTGCTGCGTAGTTCGATAGTAGTGGACGCAGGTCATCAGGCGTCTCACGTTCCACTGTAGGTCGTCGGTTCATGGTTCAACAGAGTTGTCTTCACCAGCATGGTGACTGTTCAGGCAGTCTCGTGGGATCGCGAAAGAAGTGGATTCTTTTCTTATGGTATACCATTATATAGATCACTTAGCAACGCTGGTTGAACTTCTTGAAAGCTCCGCTATTGAATCGAATTACCATCGTACTTTCTAACTGTTAAATTCGAAGCATTTCTTTGCGTATACTCCACTTTGAGCGTCTATCTATCTATCTATCTATCTATCTATCTATCTATCTATCTATCTATCTATTTATCTATCTATCTAGCCGCTTACGTCTCGGGGCTCTCATGATCACGACCTTAACTTGGGGCAAACCAAAATCAGGGTGGCAGGGTAAAATTGTTTGACGAATACGACTCGTTAGTCATGACATGAATAATAGCGCAATCCAGTGGCATACGTCGTCAAATACTTTCCGAAAAAAAAATCGGGAGATCTGAAGTACCCAGGAATCGATGTTATGCGAAGCATGCGGAGGGAAGGTGACCGTGATGCAATTTTCTTTATTGAGCGACACGTCATAAAATGACGCTAAATATGTTTACAAATGCTGCACGTACATACATATGTTGAAGAGTTGCAAATGTTTATATAACCAGCTGTTTCAACTTGCGCAACCATGCCAACTGGAACATGCGTATTAGCAACACCAGAAGCTGATACGAAGCGCTGATGCTCGTGAGGATGCTGGCCCTGGCCACTGCTACAAAAATCAACTTCAGCGCATGGCAACTAACCAAAACTGACGTTAACCCGACGTGACGGCTGTATCAAAGTATATAGTACATAGGTAATGCTTATAAAATTGGGTAGGTATCACTGCAATCACTATTGACGTTTCACGAAGATTGGCATCTATTTAAAAAGTAGTTCCGAGACCTGGCGTAGCTCAGTGGTAAAATACTTCATTTCCACGCAGAATGCTTGGGTTTGATTACAGCTGGGACCCTGACATTTATCCTTTGCATCCGTATGGTCAACGCTATGTCGGGTATTTCTTAACGCACGCACGTTAAAATTGCCCATGTGTGCTCTCGTTGTTCCTGAGTAGATACTAAGTGTCAATCACCTGTGGCACATACCCGCATACCAGCGGCACATACCCACTCGTGGGTATGTGCCACTGTCTGGCGAGAAGTGTTTGACGACGTACGCCACGGGAATGTGACATTATTCATGTCTTGACCAGCGCGTCATATTCGTCAAACTATCTTACCCTCTCATTCTAATTTTGGTTCACGCCAAGTTAAGAGGGTGACCACGAGAGCCCCCAAACGTAAGCAGATAGATAGATAGATAGATAGATAGATAGATAGATAGATAGATAGATAGATAGATAGATAGATAGATAGATAGATAGATAGATAGATAGATAGATAGATAGATAGATAGATAGATAGATAGATAGATAGATAGATAGATAGATAGATAGATAGATAGATAGATAGATAGATAGATAGATAGATAGATAGATAGATAGATAGATAGATAGATAGATAGATAGATAGATAGATAGATAGATAGATAGATAGATAGATAGATAGATAGATAGATAGATAGATTCGCATTTAACAGTGGCACAGGCGGGTATGGGCCACAGGTGTTTGACACTTTATATCTACCCGGGGACGGCGAGAAGACATGTGCACGTGGGTAATTTTTAAATTTGATCGTTAAGAGAAAGCAGACATCGTCAGCTTGGCTGGACGAAGACAAAGAATAAATGGCATTGTTCCAGCGGGAATCGTTCCCTAACATTCTGCGTTGCAACGAAGTATTCTACCACAGGGCCACGTCAGGTCGCGGGACTGCCTAGCAAATAGACGCTGATGTTCGTGAAACGCCAATTTTGATTGAAGTGTTGGCTTTCCAATTTTACAAAGATTACATGTGTAGCGCTACGATACAGCCGTTACGTCGGGTTAACATCAGTTGTAGTTATATGTCATCCGCCTAAGTTTATGTATATAGCACTGTCCCGGGCTAGCATCCCCGCGAGCGCGCAGCGCTTTATATCAGCTTATCAATTCTCGTGCGTGTAATATCCATGTTGCTGTTGGCATCGTTACGCAACTGTAAGCAACTGGTGCTATAAACATGTGCGCCTCTTTAACATATGTTTATGCGTGCATTTGTACATATCTTTATAGCAACTTCCTAACGTATCGCTCAATAAACAATTACAACATATATCATCTTGCATATGCATGCCTCGCATAACATTGATTCCCGAAGTACGTGGGACTTGCCAATTTTTTTTTTACTTACGTTGATATATATTGCGTAAAAGGTGTATAAACTTATGTTCAAATGTCATTTCTAATATTTCTATTATATTTTTGCCTCTTATAATATTAGTAGCTCGTGTGTGACCAACAATCGAGTAACATCAACGCTTTCACTTCCAGGTAGGATCTCTACAGTGGCGCGTGATTCCTCAGAGAGCCGACTCTCAGGAGGGACACTGTTCTGTACAAAATTACGCAATAAAACAACACAAGAAATATCCACACGAGGAGAAAATATTCAATTTTTGCCCCCCCCCTCCCCCCCGCAGGATTTGGCGTGTCTACTTGATCGGCTTCTCGCTGATTAAGCCAAATTTGTCTGTGCGGGTTGTGGGCAAATTCCGAAAAGCCTGTGATAGTAAATTGGGAAAGATTCGCACGATAGCATTCTCTGCCGCTGATTGGGTCCGAGAATGTTACGTAACACTGAGCACAGCCAAAGCCAGACTGCCTAAATGTGTGGCATATGAACGAGTGTCATGTGGCAAAAACGCACTCTGACCTCTTCCCAAAGCAAAAAAAAAAAAGATGCCCTGCTGTGTAGGTGCACGTGTTCGAAGTTTTGCACAACGCGACGCACAGCACGAATGATATTGTCTTGTTATGTTACTGCGAAGTCAAACTACAAAGAAAAAACTTTTGGAGGGAAGAAAGAAAGAGAGAGTGCTTGCGTGTTTGCTGGTGTGCAGCATGAGATGAAATATGACTTAACACATCCATCGCGTCAGACAAAGCCTAGCTAAATATACACTGCAAGAACTGCCTTGTATCTGGAGTCTCCTGCAGTAAATTCTCGAATTTCCACATCATGATTTTTCTTGGGCGTCTTAACGGTTTTGCTTTTTGGGGAAGGGAGAAAAGAGCTTGTCTTTCTATTTTTAACTTGCCACTGAGCATCCGATTTATATGGAGGCCCGTGTAGCTGAGGCGCGAGGAGTCTTTCGATTTTATTGAACTTCTTGAATCTAAAATGTTTCATAGGACAAGAATTTCTGGACCGTATATCAGGCCCATAGCTGCCATAGACGGCAACGCGACCTTTTCTGAAGCTGCCGAAGTCGTCCGTCATCGGCGGCTTCTTGCGATCGCTCTCAGCCTTCACGAGATTGCGCAATCAGTGCGCACTATTTAAGTCGGCCTATTATTACCACGCAGGACAAAAAAACAAAACAAAGTGCGCATCTGGTTGACCTTCTCACCTGCACTTTTTGTGTGTTTTTTTCACTGCAAGCATGTTCCGCTCTGCCGATTCATGGACTCCTTTTCAACAACACTCTTAATGATACAGTAAACTATAATAGTTCAAGATGGTTACATAAATCGTGCGGCGTGTTCAACGCAGGCTCGAATGTCGGCGTGGTTCTCTCGATGAAGCACATGGTGGTGATCCTGGTGGTGTTCTCGGCCTTGGTTGTTGGGATGTGCGCCTCTATCGGCATAACCTGCCACAACAAGATCCAGGAGCGTCGGCGCCGGGAGCGCGAGTACAAGCTGCGGCGCTCCAAGGAGGCTTCCGTCGAGGTAAGTCAACTGCGAAGAGACCTATCTCCACTCTCTTCCGGCAGAGTAGGAACAGCACTATATACTCTCTTAATGTTCAAAAACATTCGTCGCTGTACATAGGAAACATTTTAGTAGTTCCTCTATTAAATCACAGTGAAAAACCCTACGTTCTGGTTCTTACGGTGAAACATATAAATAACAAAAGTCAGCTGGTAAAGTATAATTAGGCTGAACGTTTTTTTTTGAAAAATATTAACAATGAAAATGGATAGCTTCTTGTTTGATTATGGGTCTACGATGCATGCCAGTGCAACTAGTGTGTGTGTGTGTGTGTGTGTGTGTGTGTGTGTGTGTGTGTGTGTGTGTGTGTGTGTGTGTGTGTGTGTGTGTGTGTGCGTGCGCGTGCGTGTGTGTGTGTGTGTGTGTGTGTGTGCGTGTGTGCGTGTGTGCGTGCGTGTGTGTGTGTGTGTGTGTGTGTGTGTGTGTGTGTGTGTGTGTTTTGGCTGCTCTTCGCGCAAAACATTCGGCTGAAGTTACCATTTTGAGAGCGGCAAAACACTGTTGCGGTATTTGATTCAGCTATAGCTCAATGATCTCGTCTGATCATAAAGCATTCAAAAAATCACTAACGAAGTTCACTGTATTTTCATTGGTGCAGTTCATCGTGCCCTCTATCTCTGCTGTGGAACCTCGAATATACGATTTTGCAAGATACGTTTTCGGCCTAATATGTTTTGTATTGTTTCTCATCCTGGCCTACGACCGTTATAAATAATGCAACTTTAGGGGTTAAGTACAATCACATTTCTGCCCAAAATTGCACAATACGACTTCGAAAGTAGATCTTGACTGATATATTTAGGAATGCTGCGTTTATTCTTCAACATTAGCTCGAATCGCGTTCCAACAAGCCACATTATGCCTGCGGCAGAGCTACTGATGTCACAGCAGCATCGGCTTTGCGAGAAAAAATTGTTGCCAGGCATGGCTGCCACGTGCCTTGATAATCATGATGAGTCAGGTGATGCACCACGCCATCTAGCGAATCGTAATCCTAATCGGTGAAAAAGGTGCGCCATGCTCTATAACAAAGTGGGTTGCTGATAAAGTATGCGTATTTTCTCCTCTTTTCTATTTCACCGTTCTGGATTCTACAATTTTTGCACAATATGTTTTATGGACCGGTTGTTCGTGCGCAAAACGTATCAACTAGATTCCACTCTATCACTGAAACAATGTGATTTGAAGCGCTGACCAGTAATTATATTTGTTCACTATTAATTGCCATGTATACTTGGAGCTGGGACAAGTGATAAAATGCGCTTCTAAGAACAGCCCCTGCGGCGCTACGAGCACTTCTGAAAAGGCGTTATCAAGCGCCCTCAACATACTCGTAAACCACAAAGGTTGTTCCTTCTCTACCGTCTAACATAAATGGGTGTTTTAGACTTGTAATAAGACACTAATGCTCCCATCACGTCTTTCTTACCCTGCACATACAATCTCTCGAAACGTTAAAAGATAATTTTTAATGAATGATGTACATTTTTTTCTGGAGTACTGTACGATAACTAAGCCATTTTGCTTCATTTTTTGTGTATATATATATATATATATATATATATATATATATATATATATATATATATATATATATATATATATATATATATATTACTTCGATATACCTTCAGGTAGAAAAAACACAAAGATCTTATTGAGCAGTACAATTCCCTTTAATATTAGGAATCAAAATTATGGAACGTATACTTGCGCACAGAGTCACATCTTTGCGTGTTTTTTTTTTTTTTACTGACGCGTTTAGTGTATCATCCTATATTTTCTGTACAACCTTGCTGTATGATGTATTCGGGATGAAAGAGCCCACGTCTCATCTGTCAAACGTATTCGTAATCCCATGACAAAGTTCGTCAGCAATGAGGGTTCTTGTTTTCAGGAAGAGACCGGCAGTCGAGGAAATGCACTATGTTTTGTACTGTTGCGAAAGACGGGCGACGCCAACACGGTCCCGAAGGCGCCGCTGCTCCGATCTCCGCCGACACTGTCAGCAGCCGTTTGGTAGCGTAGGTTTCTCAGCTCGCGACTGCTTCTGCGCAGAGCTGATAGACAAGCGGACGAGACGACGGTGAGTTAAAGCAAGGTTTATGTACAGCAAAGAAATAGAGACGTTACAAATGCAGCACTGGGGCTGACAGTTTAGAGACTCGAAGAGCCGAGCTCTCTTCTCTGACACATAGGTCTACTGCTCGCGACGCGCCGCAGGGTTTTTTTTTTTTATATGCACCGGGTGGATCCCTTGAGTAACCAAATGTCCAACCAGAAGCGCTGCTGGCCGTGAGGTCAGAATCCTGCAATGGGGTCGCCGCTGGGCCACGTCATTCTCATCAAATCCGGAGCCGCTGCACGTGGCTGCACCCAAGGACGAGTGACGCCGCCACGCATTGCGTAAGACTCGCCAGACAGGAAGGCACCCATTGCTGCAACGGGTTCGTAGGCTGAGGTGGCTCGCTGTGCGTGCGCGACAGATCAGCGCCGCCGCGTGATGACGCGTTGAGTTGTTCGCGTCAGGCGGGCTCGCGTGCTGGCCTTGATACAGATTGCTTTTTTCTGAGGCATGGACGTTCGGTGTGCGCTCGCAGGCATAACAGTACCCAGCCTATTTATTTTCATTTAAATTATATTATCAAATCTTTCGCTCGGTACTAAGTGACCACACCAAGAGCACATGAGTGACGCATTCTCGTGGCCACGAATGCAAAATGGAGATATTTAGTGCTGCGTTTACAGAGGGAAAGTATATTTCCCGTGCAAGTTTCTCACCAAAGGAAGAAAGTTTATCTATATGGTGCTGCGCCTTCTAACTTCGTGGAGAGTTGAAACTCAAAAAAACAACAATTTTAGCCCAGAGCACGGGATGGATATTACTGGTTCCTTGTCAAGGCATACTTCAGTCGAGACTTTGTCACTTCGTAAAATGTTTCTCTCATTGAGGCTGACTAATTGAGAAATGTGGTCTTCATACGAAAATGTCTCGCGATTTTTTTTTTTCGAGTCCACACCATGTTCTTATAAGTAACTGTCGCAGGGAATGCATACATGGTTAATTCTTCCTGCACTTTGTTAAATCAATGTATTGCATATAAGCTGAGTTTTAACTCCAAATAATGCACGTACAAGCGTATGTGTGTGGCATTTGCTGTTGTTTACCTAGAATACACGGCATCTTAATACACGGCTGGAAGAAAGGCTCCTATCCTACGATTGACCCTGAAAGAATCTTGGGAGAGAGGTGCGATATTTAACGGCTACACTTGTATTTTATTCCACAGCTCTTAACCAAAATCCCTCAACCATTAGTTTCTGCAGCGTAGACAGGATCCCTGGTTTCGACAACAGTTATGAAGTGTCATAGGGCATTTGTTTTTGTTCAATAGCTTCATGCATGCTCAATGCGTAATTTGAACCTGTTCCCCCACGTAAACACGGTATACTATAAGGGAAGCTTATTGTCGCATTTTACCTTGTTCATCGCCTAAAGACACACGGGGAATAAATGAGCTGTTTTTTTTTTCATCAACATAAGTATCATTCCGTGATCAGTGAAAGCAAAATATAAGGAAAGCGTTTTTGAGCCATTTAGTAATAAATTCCGCAAAACAGTTGAAAGCAAATACTTGTGCATGTATATCTGTGCGAAACTACCCTGGCGCATGTACCACGAGAAATTAATCAATGTGTTAATAGTTTTTTTTATTGGATCATTACGATAATAGCTGCGGAAACAAGTACTGTTACTTACCTACTGAACAGAAACTTGGAGGTTGTAATAAAGAGGGCTCAACCTAAATCAAGGACAAAGCAGCGAGGGATACAAAGGAAAAATGATAGGTGTAACTTTAAACGACAAGAAGAGAGCAGAGTAGGTCAGGGGACAAATGGGCATTAGGTACAGTTTAGTCGAAATCAAGAAGAATAAATGAACATGGGCAGGGCATGTAGCACATAGGCAAGGTGACCGCTGGTCATTAGAAGTAACGGACTAAATTCTCAGAGAATAAACGAGTAAGGGTGAGAGAGAAAGTTAGCTGGGCAGATGAGGTTGAGAATTTTGTGGGGGCAACGTGGTTGGAGTGAGCACAGGACCGGGGGCTCTATGCAGTATCGGCCGAGTTTCGCGAAACTCGGAGCAAATGGCGGAGCGTATGCCACGAAATGATCTTCATTTGGTATTGCAAAGCGCCAGTACTGTGAAATCAATCGAGTACTTCTTATACAATAAAGCATTATGTTAAAAAACACTCCGAAAATGCAAGGAAATAATAGTTGGCCTCACGCGGCTCGGCCTCCTGCAGGCTTCGCAGCACTTGCGGAGCACAAGGATTGAACGCAAATGCACCCACACGCACAGCAGCGCACCATGCGGGCGCCGCCAGCAGTCATCAGCTGCGGGGCCTAGAAACACCTAGGCCCCGCAGCTGCGAGGCCTATGCTACAGTGTCTAGAAATATACTGCCTAGTGTGCTGAGCCCGCGCTCAGCACAATAGGTAGTATATTTCTAGACACTGTACCACAGGCTCGATGCTGTCTTCTAAGCAGTCTGCGTAGACTGTCTACTTGTTCTCTAAGAATTGGAACACAACCTTTATCTGCAATATTTGATAGGAGAAAAACGAGCAGCTCAAGAGTGCTGCGTATGCACCCTTGCTGCCTTCGAGAGTAGAAATTTCCATGCTGCAGGTGGAACGAAACAACCTGTCCGAAATAGAAAAAACGCCCACGAGCCCCACCGCGGTGGTCTAGTGGCTAAGGTACTCGGCTGCTGAACCGCAGGTCGCGGGTTTGAATCCCGGCTGCGGCGGCTGCATTTCCGATGGAGGCGGAAATGTAGGCACGTGTGCTCAGATTTGGGTTCACGTTAAAGAACCCCAGGTGGTCCAAATTTCCGGAGCCCTCCTCTACGGCGTCTCTCATAATCATATTGTGGTTTTGGGACGTTAAACCCCACATATCAATCAACAAACGCCCACGAACACGCCTGTGGGAGGAGCGTGTTGAATTGGCAAAAAGATAGCGTGGCAATCACCGTGACGTCACTGCACTGGTAAAATGCTGACTGAGTGGCGACGCTGACGTGTTCGCACATGCTGTTTCTATGATAACCACCGCCAATGTCCCACATGCGTTTCCAACACCACGCGCGTACATGTAGCCATCTTTATCAACGCTGCTATCACGCGCTCTGCACTGTCTTCATGCCATGGCCACTGCAGAGCAAGCTCGGAGCAAACTCCTCTGCCGAAAAGCCCGGGCCATCCTGCATCGCACCCCGGGATTATTGGAGGAACATGGGAGAGGTCTTTGCCCTGCAGTGTGTGCAGTCGGGAGGATGATGGTGGTGGTGGTGGTGGTGGTGGTGGTGGTGGTGGTGGTGGTGGTGGTGGTGGTGGTGGTGGTGGTGGTGGTGGTGGTGGTGGTGGTGGTGGTGGTGGTGGTGGTGGTGGTGGTGGTGGCGATCATGTTGATGCTGATGCCGTCAGAGGAGCTGATTCTGCCTTATTATTCTTTAGAACAAGTTGTAGTTCTTATTATCATGAGCGCAGTAAAAAAAGAACTGGGAAATGATTTAAACTTCAACGAAAAGTAGGCGAAGAAAACCGACGTTTAGGAACCAACCAGGTTCCTTCCATAGGGGGACCGGGACTGCGTAGCAGCGGCGTCTTCAAAGCACTCGTGGGGCGGTTAATGACCTCTCTCACTCTCTCGATCCAGCACGAAATCATCCGCACATGTTTTCTGACGAAGCAAGATTTTTTTCATCTATCCGCCATCAATCAGCAGTTGTGGTATTAATCAGTCGGGCACGAGGTATCGGGTCCGACTCTTGCCTGAGGCGACTCTTTGTCGACTGGGACGGAATGCGGAAGTTTGGCTGAAATAACTCTAAGCGCCTGTAATTAATATGGGGCAATCTACTATGGTATTTCTCGTTAGTTGCTTTGAAAGGTTAAAGGTTTTGTTTGTTTGTATTTTTTTACCGTCAGCTGCAAAATTACCGTCCAGGAATTCAAATCACGGAAGCATGTTGAACCAGCCAAATGTCATGGCCTCCGAGCAACCAAAGCAAATACCACGACACTTGCTCAGCTGTTCAGCATCTGTCGCGAAAAGCAGTTTCGATGACCTATCGAGTTCCGACGGCGGTTGCCGCGGTTTCTGTGGTTGTGTTATGTTTGCGCTCTCTGTCGTACTCACTTTTGAGCGTGCTCTTGTAACTCCATAATGAGTCAATGCCAACTTTTTGAGATGCTTATGCACTGTCGCAACTTGGTCACGCAACATGATGGTATTCACTATACGCTCGATCGCGCACCACGGCTTTAACACAGCCGAGCCTGTGATAGAAAGCCGTTGCTCGCTCACACTGAAAGGTTTTTTCCGTAGGTGGGTCTTGACCTATCCGCCGGAAACCTGGAGGCAGCGCTGGCGCTGCAAGCAGCTGAAATCGGCGCGCGCCGAGCTGGTGGATTGCCACCTAGCGCACCTACAGCGACGACTTTGGTGGGACCCACGGTGCTACGACCCGAAGACGACGACAACGGCTGCTACGTGCCCGAGGTATGGCCACCTGCACTACGTCGCTTCACGAAACAGGGTCTATATGTTCACAAAGTTCTCGTTTCAGGAGTCTCCCTTGCCATTGATTGCTTACCTACGTTAAAAATACATCAAGCACATCAAGCGTTAGGATCGGTTTGAGTTTTATTTTGTGAAGAGCTGTAATTCGAGAACTTCCTGGTAAGAGTATATTGAAGAGCTTATTGGCACTTGTTATATGGATGTTGTTGCCTTCTTTCTCCACTTCTTTCCTGTTTGCCGTTTTTTATTGATGTAAATTTTTGTGAATATAAATAGTGTGCACGTGCGCGCGCGCGCGCCCGTGTGTGTGTGTGTGTGTGTGTGTGTGTGTGTGTGTGTGTGTGTGTGTGTGTGTGTGTGTGTGTGTGTGTGTGTGTGTGTGTGTGTGTGTGTGTGTGTGTGTGTGTGTGTGTGTGTGTGTGTGTCCACCATGACCTGACCCGTCCACAGCCTTTCCAAGAAATCCACAATCTATGCATGCCTGATACATCCCCGACAGCTCATTTTATTTCGGCCTGTAACTAGGAAGATCACATTAAATTTAATAGACTTCAATTGAGTTTCTTCGCAAAAATGCAACAACATTGCCGGAGATGATGTGATTAAACAGCCTGAGGTTTATATGCGCACACTCTAGAAAGGTCGGCATAATGATATTTGCTACAAGAAAAGTATTGTGCATGGTTCACATCTCGCCATATCGAGCTCACGCAGTAAAGGATCACGCAAGCAAAAGGGCGATACTGAGCATACCAAGGCGAAAAAATTTCCAAAGCCAAACAATGCGCCCACTGTATATGTATTCTTCCATTATTATATATTATACTTGCACTAATGCCCTGGTATGAATAATTATAATACTAATTAGGTAATTAATAATTGCTCAGGTACTAGCTTATAGCTGTACAAAAATAATTTAAAAATCAACAAGAGAAAGGTGGCGTTTTATCTATATAGTATTTATTTACTGTTTTGGCACCGTTCCACAGAGTTCAGAAAGCGCAGAAGAGGTCAGATTGCTTTCTACGCATAAATGAGAGTTTGGCCACAGCCTTGGACATTTTCCCACATACAGGTAAACATGCAAAGGACTGAGGAAGAGCCCTTCATTCTCAACGTATGAAGGACACTGACAAATACACTTTCTTTGCCTCTGCTACAAAAAAAATGCACGCGGTACTGTCGGTATTTTCTATAGCATGTCACCCTGTATAGTGAGTGATCATGTTCGTGTGTTCTAGGCACGCTTTGTTTTGTGCTATTTTCGACTCTATTTTGTTCCATTCAATGTATATTCCAGTATGTCCATGCTGGATGGTTGTGTTGGGTTAAAAACGCAAGTAGCTTGCTGAAACCCAATGACTAAGCTATACAAGACAGTGACAAAAAGCATACTGGTGCAACGATGAGCATTAAAACAGCAAATAACAACGAGTATATGTAAAGGCGCGCTCAATATTACTTGCAACATGGGAGTGCGTGGCCTCACGAGTTCAAAGGTTGCTACACATTCTTACTTTAATGCAATAAGAAACTTGTGTTAGCAAATAACAATGTTCAGAGAAATAAAGTTGCACAGTACGTACTTGTATTGATATGTCACATTAAGAGCGTTTTTTTTTTTCTCCTGAAAACGACGATCTTTCCATATGTGTTCAATGTAGATGGTGGGTTATATACCATCAACTGATATTTGCCGCGCGTCCTGAAGTATGGTACTGACCATGTTTCAGAGTTTCTGATGTTGGTGTTAACTCGACGACGCTCTCTCCATTTATCTACATTGTTTCTTTCCCTTTGCGTAGAGGATCGCGCCTGGCGTGTTCCCATTCATTCTCCTTTCTTTCCAGGTGTTGATTTTGCATGGGCCCGCTGTCTGCCCATGCATGACGATGTGTCGTTGCGCAGGTGGACCTGAGCGTGTTCCGCAAGCACCCGAACGGGCGGCCGCTGTCGCCGGCAACGGAGGCGTAGCGCTCGTGTCCGCAGCATGGCGACTTGCACAGTCTGCGTAGCGACAGCGTCACGCCTCCGATCCCACCTCCACCACCGCCGCCCCACAAAGCCCATCCTCCGCCCCGCGTGGACATCTATCGCTGAGCGCGACCTGCGACGACGACAGCCGAGCGCGCAAAACACGCCCGGCGCCACCTTGCTCAACAACCGACAGGACCGTGTCGAGGAGGCGATGTCGCGCGCACCGCGGAGCGTCTCTGCAGCGGCCTCCTCTTGGGAAGAAAGGCAGGAAAGGTTGTTCTGCACTGCCTTGCATATTAACCCTGCTCAAAGTTACGGGAACCATTTATTCGCCCTCGACACGAGCTGGCTTCGAGAGTAGTCGTGTGGTTGCGCGAGTGCGCGCTTCGTCGAAGAGTGTGGCGCGGAAAGTGGGCTGGCCTCCGAGCGAGAGCGATCATCGGTGCCAGGGCAGCTCGTGGCACACTCTGGACACAAGCGGTCTGCGCATAGCCTTTCACGTTCACTCAACCCATTGACTCAAAGCACGGTGTCGTCGGACTCAAAGTGTCAGAATTGAAAAAAAAATGTTATTGACTTCTCTTTTCGAACTGACGCTGTGGTGCTCGTGTGTGGACGCCTCTGTACAGCGCGGGTGTTACTTTACTAGGAGTACTAATTACTCTTTGCCTGTTTACAATACACACAACGGAAACAACGACAACAAACTCGGTCCCGGAGGAAGCCAGTCTGGTGCCCTGGTTTCCGTCGTTCAACGCGCGCCCCGGGGTTTCGCCGGCCATGCCTGACCCCGTATGAAGCAATATGAAGCAACGAATAGAGTGGTTTTCCAAAAAAAAAAACGGTTGCGATAACTCGGGTACGCTACCAACGTTCACGCGTTGCGACGTATTGTGCGACCGATCGGTTCATTATTGGACAGGGGCGCTTCATCTGCTGTACGAAAAGGGGAAAGTTGTAGGGCTATCAAAACTTGAGCTCTAGAGCCAGCTACTTTCTTTGTACTCCCCCTTGTTCCTAGAATAGCGCAACTGTTAATGAAAGCACTATCCGGTAGCGTAAGGTAACTTTTGCTTGCGAAGACTATAGAGAGAGCTGGCCTTCGAAAAAAAAAAGCAGTCGGGCCGCGCTAGCGTATCGGAAACAAGTCACATAGACCGCGTCTCTCCCACGATTACCCCTTCGCTGCCGGAGTATGGGGGATGGCCGTTGAACGGCGGAAGCAGTGATGCCTGTAAGCACAACGTGCTTCCTGATCCGGGCGTCGCCAAGGGACGCTCGATGCTACTCTTCCATCTATAACAATTCCACATGTGAAAACCATGAGAGTTCCCATTCCCTACCCTCTTTAGTTGCACTTTATTCCCAATCTGCCTTCGTTGCAGCCCGGTGAGATTCAGACACGCTGTATCTGTCTAGTCTTTCCCTCCGTCGTGTATGTAGCTTCACTGTGTTCAGTAGGCATCCACAGAAGAAGCCTCTCTTTGTTCCACTCGGCCAATCTTGCATTTTAACATACTTCAGGATGATCTAGGATTAATTTGCTTTCATATTGTAAATATCATTGGCTTCCGCTTGCGGCTGGCTTACGATGGTTACCGTAGTTTTTTCACGAAATACTGGTAGGTAATGGTAGCTTTCGCCGTAAGAATGTTCGATCAGGAGACAAGAAAAAAAGAGTAAAGAAAAGCAGCTTGTAACTGAGCACGAACTACACTTTCATATCCAATAATTGTCGTGCAGCCAATGTTGAAATAAGTTTTGAGCTTGACTGTTATTGACCCCTTCATGTCAAGGTGTCGCTAATATAAGATCAATTGCTTAGCGGAAAATATCTCGCGTATATAAAAAAAAGATTCTTAATGAGGCTATTCTCCGGCACCTGTGTTTCCTATATAATTTGTTACGGGCAATTCGAAATTCTTGGTTCAAGAAGTTGACCAGATGTGTTAGAGTGGTGGTAATTTCCACGCGGGTTTCTTAACAAAACACAACTGAAAATCTGTCACTTTGGCGAAAACGGCGTTCGACAAGGCGCGGTAAATAGAACCCAGGTATTTACAGCCGTCCTTGTCTTCATAACGAGCGTAGGTGTACATAAATAGGACACTATTTCCTATGAAGGTTTCTGAACGCCCCACACAAGCCCGCCATGGACGAAGCTAACTGCTGTTAATGCATTAGGTGAGCTTTCTAAGTTAAACTACGACAGCACACCTGCGCAAGCAAACGCCGAAGATGCCAAATATTATTCCGCGTAAGGCACTTTGCCCGTTCGCAGTTTAGCCTGCCCTCCAGTCCCTGGGCTTTCTCAGTGGAAAGATTTTGTCTAGATTTGAAGACCACCAGTCAATATGTATACGTTTTCGACTCTACTATTAGTTAGCAGATTTATGAGCTCTCCATATTTTTTCCTTGCGGAAACGAGCAGCAAAGTAAAAGAAATCTCGCATACAAGAAACGCTGCCAGTTTTGTATCCGATTATAAGAACAGTCGCAGCTGTTCGAGGTCGCACTTTCAGCCTGTCAGCTGCCAGATTGGGCGTTCGATGTAAGCGCGTTTCAATTGGCTGCCTTCCCTTTTCCAAACTCAATCGACGGCCTCGATTGCGAGTAAGGAACGAGAAAGAGAGAGAGAGCAATGACGAGCGGGGCACTTGGAGCGCTACCATGTCCGCGGAAAGCACAACTTCGGGTAACCTTTGGGGCTCACGGCGAAATGGGGCTATTTCGATGGGCGAAATTCACCCACCGAGCTACAGAATGGGAGTCACCTCGTTAGCTTGCCTTATTTTGTGGTCGCTCTGAATTCTCGCTATAGGCTGCGTGCTGGCGTCGCCCCCACGCCCTCTTGCTGCGTGGCCGCGAATTTGAACGTGACAATTTCATGCGCGTACATTTTCATCCAGTGCGGGCAGAAGGAGAGCCTTATGAGCGAAGCTCGTCAGGCAGTTGCCCTTCAGCGCGCGCGTAGAGAGCGTGCGCGGACAAAGGTGCGTAAGCACGGTGCCCGACGTTACCTTTCTAATCTTCTCAACCTTATCATAACTAATCACAACAACAAAAACATTTACACGCGTATCGATCACAGACAGCCAAAACGTTGGCACTGTTCTGCGCCGGAGCACCATACAAGTACCACAAAATGAGCAGTATCATTTAGCGAAAGATCTCCCAGTGTCGTCCGCCCTCCTCTACCCCTGCTCTCCCATTTTGAAACCGTTTCGGACTAGGTTTACGTTAGGTGCAAATAGGGAATGCGAGGAGGGGCTGCGAAATTACTTATCAGCTATACTACCAAACACTCAGGACCATTTCGTCGTATTTACTGGCACAGAGTTTCGTACAGCAGCAGGAATGTAACTGGAAACATGCGAAGGGGGCGGTTGCGCACATATACGATCATTCTGCGTCTGAACATTGCGCCAGGATCGAATCAAGCAGCATGCATTCCGCTCTTGTCTATAGTTCTGCATTCGTAGGCACGTAACGTTGTGTGATACCCTACTGTGTCATCGTAACACGGTTTTACTTTCGCATGTTCATCGCAGACAGTCTGTAGCAGCACTCACGTTTCACACGAGGGCACAGAGGCGTCATGTCTCAACTTGCTCATAATAACGTCTTTCCGGCAAGCTTGCCGCAATCGAAGTATTCACGGCCGTAGACGAGCTAAAGACAGAAAATTCTTCACTAGAATGTTCTTCAGAATATCACGCATGAACTATGTGGTAGTACACGATATAGTACACGGTTCCTAAATACTGAAGGCGTTCCTTAACACATCCATATTCTTTCTTCTCTCTGTGTGGGTGTGTGTGTGTGTGTGTGTGCGTGTGCGCGTGTCCGCGCATGCTTGCAGGAGTGCGTTCCTTTCGACGGGTCTAGAGTTTATACGTGCTCATTGAAGAACTCCAGGTAGTGGACATTACTCCTTTACTACTTTCTCTTACGGACACAAAGTTTCTTTCGAGTTTTAAACCACCACCAATCCCTAATAGAGTGTATATTTAGAACACCACGCGCTCGTGTCACGGTCGATGAGCTCTTAAAACCGTCAGATGCGCTAAATTGGCACCCGGCCCCGCCGCGGTGGTCTAGTGGCTAAGGTACTCGGCTGCTGACCCGCAGGGCGCGGGTTCGAATCCCGGCTGCGGCGGCTGCATTTCCGATGGAGGCGGAAATGTTGTAGGCCCGTGTGCTCAGATTTGGGTGCACGTTAAAGAACCCCAGGTGGTCTAAATTTCCGGAGCCCTCCACTACGGCGTCTCTCATAATCATATAGTGATTTTGAGACGTTAAACCCCACATATCAATCAAATCAATTGGCACCTGTGCAGTGTCATAAAAGGCGTAGCTGCTCTGAAGCACGCGGGCCTGACGACTCGAGGAAGGACAAGGCGATAGAAGAACGCGTCATGCTCAATACCATTTTTTTTATATACTGAGCGCAATTTTCTCGAGCTCGGTGAACACGTTTTCAATGATTGGCCATCGGGTAGTTTACGGACTTTGGGGCATGTTTGCTTGTGTCTAATACCAATGTCGGTTAGCTATCCTAACTAGTTCATAGTATTCAAAAAATTACTGGCTTTTTTTAAAAAATTGCCTTGAAATTAGGTGAGAAGTCGCGACTGGTTATCAGCATTAAATTTTTACCGTAGCTTTCTTCCCCACCACGTTTCCCCTTACCAAGTACAGGCTAGCCAACCGAATATTTCCTTTCGTTAACCATCCTACCTTTCATTTACCTTTCTCCCTGCCTGTCTTCTGCAAAGATGTTGGATAGCATTAGCGCAAGTATTATAAGGCAACATGAGGAATGAAAGACAAATAAATAGCCATGAGACGTGAGAAAAAAGTGCTGAATGTGTGCATTGTGGCCTTTGCAAATCGCACTAGCCGTAACCCTGAATGTGTATTTCTTTTGTGCTCTTTCGTTCACGGTAGAGACTGATAAAATTTTGTTTAAGTGATCAAAAGTATCCGCCGATACCACCAGCGTAATGTAAGTCAGTCGCGACATGCAGTTGTGGGAACTCGTAACAGTGAAACTTTGCAATGTACTTCATACCCGAGTTTTATTCTACTTCTCGCGATTAAAATTTCAAACAACTGGGACACACGAGATGTAGTGTTTCATTTTTCATTCAGATGTATTCGAATTACTATAGATTAGCCATGCAGTTTAACGTTACATACGAGTGTGCAATACACTGAGGTGGTGGGTTAAAAAAAGCTATACTAATGTTAACTGCCTGGAGTTCCATGCACCCAACGTTCGCAAGCGCCCTTGCATTTTAAGGCCAATGGAACGTGACCCCGAAACATGCGACCTGGCGCTCGGCGTAGCTGACGTGTTAGATGAAATTCGGGTTTCAGTGTTTTATTTGTTTCTCTCGTTATTCGTTTGTACTGTCCAAAGAGTTGATCTTAAGTCAGAAGCAGATCACATATTCAAGCGCGCACACGCAGTGACTCACAAGAGGACATGGTTGCAGGTAACGTCGGGCACCTCGATGACGAGCTCATTTTTTTTCCTGGCTAGAAAAGATTCGATATTGCGTTGATTGTTTTGCCGTCCAGCATGTTCTTCGGGTCAATCATTGGCGCTCGTGATTCGAATGGTAAATCGCCCGTCACTCAAAACTTGTGCGCACCCGCAGACGTACCTTTTTTTTTTTTTCGCGCAGCCTTTCT